GCAGCTAAATTTTCTAATCCTGAAACTGCTCTAACCAGAGTTAGGTGTACCTTCTTATTATTGAGAGACTAGTTAATATAAAAGAGTTAACTTTCCTTTTTGTTCAAGTCAGTTAATTTTTTGATGAATTTTGTTAAAGGCATCTTAATCATTACCCTAAATGATCAGCAATGGCAGGCCATCAGACTTTGTATTCCTCTTAAAGAGGCCACCAGCAAGGTTTTTAACAGGCATGCCAAGGCTTTTCCCTGGATGGTATTTTGAGTACCCCTGATTTAACTGAAGGGGCTTTGTGCTACTTCAGCAAGAACTGAGAGAGCAAAGCCTTCAGTTTTACAAAGAACAAGAAATAAACTGGCCTACCTACAGTTGTGCAGGTTATCAATTGAAAGAAAAAATAAGTCAACCTTTTCAGCATCAGGTCATTAAACCAAAGACTAATACAACCAAAGGTTATCCCATATGGTTCCAGTAAAAAGGAAAAGGCCTATTTACGTTTATAACTAAGAAAAAAGTTATTTTTAAACTGATGCTTAAGAGCAGTTAAGAGACACTTTAGTAGTCCCAAATTCCCAACCAGTACCACAAACAATGGCTTAAAGTCCTTCAGACAACCTTCTCTGAGAGAGAGAGAGAACCCCACAGTGATCTGACACAGAATGTCTTTTTGTATTTGGCTAAAATAAAGAGTCTTGTTTTTCCTAAGCATGGATACAAGACAAACCCATTCCACTGTCTACTAAAGCTTATAGGTATATAAGGGTTTCCTGAGAACTTGCTCTTGCTGATGATAGAATAATACTGGCAACAGTGAGCAAGGCCACATTCTCCTCGAGAAACAAAGCTGATTACAAGAGGCACAGGGCTTCCTTTGTCTCCTGTACTACCTTCTCTCAGCCTCATCAGTTAGTCTCCTTCTCACAGTCTATCCTGGGACTCTGGAGGTAAACAAGCTGTTCAGATACCAACAAATTACAAGGGTGTACTTCTGTGTCATTGTTGCACATTCACAGCAACTTTTCTTATTGAGTTCTAGGTGCTTTATAGCACAACACCCCATATATAAAGATAAAATGTGTTACTGAGTAACACTGACCACTTAACTCTAAATCCCGTATGAATAACTCCATTCTTTCTAAGACTTGGAAAATGTACTGATCTTCACTATGGCCAAGCAAATGCCCTTCTTCAGTTTAGGACAAGCTGTCAATTGCTTTAAATAAGAAATGAAACTGGTGTCAAAAAGTTCCGGTGTTTTCTGTGCTGACCGGCCATTTTACATATAAAAATTCGTGCTGAGATAACGTAAATCGATAAATTGGAGGCTGAAATTAAGTCCAAATCGGCCGGGTGTGGTGGTTTATGCCTGTAACCCAGCACTCTGGGAAGCTGAGGCAGAAGGATCATTTGAGCCCAGGAGTTTAAGACCAGTCTGAGCAACAGAGCAAGAACAAGTCTCTATAAAAAATTAAAAATAAAGAAGTCCAAATCATTTCATTTACATTAACCATGCTTCTTACCAATTTTCCTGCCCCTAGTTCCACATACGCTATTCCCACCCCCAAATCCATTCTCCACAATGCAGCTACAGTAGAAATGTTAAAGTGTCACTTCTAACTTAGATCCTATTCAAATGACAAAGTTCAAATTCTAGCTGGGATATTCCACGTAACTCTTCATGATCTGGCCTCTGTCTCCCTTCTGGTCTCTCTTTCACCAGTCTTCATCTGGCTAACTTCTACTCATCCCTTAGGATGATCTTTCCAAGGGTGAATTAGGGACTAGGTTAGCAGCGAGAGGCGACAGTTAAGAGCACTGGCTCTAGGTTCAAATTCTAGCTCTTCTAATTTCTTTTTTTTTCTTTTCTTTTTTTTTTTTGAGACAGAGTCTCGCTCTGTCGTCCAGGCTGAAGTGCAACGGTCACAATCTTGGCTCACTGCAACCTCCGCCTCCCGGGTTCAAGCGATTCTCCTGCCTCAGCCTCTTGAGTAGCTGGGATTATAGGAGCGTGCTACCATGCCCGGCTGATTTTTCTATTTTTAGTAGAGATGGAGTTTCACCATGTTGGCCAGGCTAGTCTCAAACTCCTGACCTCAGGTGATCGGCCTTCCCAAAGTGCTGGGATTTGCAGGCATGAGCCAACGTGCTCAGCCTTCCAATTTCTTTTCTTTTTTTGGGGGGCGGGGGACGAAGTTTCGCTCTTGTTGCCCAGGCTGGAGCACAATGGTGCGATCTCAGCTCACTGCAACCTCTGCCTCCCGGGATCAAGCGATTCTCCTGCCTCAGCCTCCCAAGTAGCTGGGATTACAGGTGACCGCCACCACGCCTGGCTAATTTTTGTATAATTAGTAGAGACAGGGTTTCACCATGTTGATCAGGCTGGCCTTGAACTTCTGACCTCAGGTGATCCACCCTCCTCAGCCTCCCAAAGTGCTGGGATTACAGGCATGAGCCACTGTGCCCGGCCCCAGCCTTTCAATTTATAACCCTGTGACTCTGAGTAAGGTTACTCACCTTACTCACTCACCTGTAAAACTAGGTTAACAAAAGCAACTACCATGTAGAGTTATTTTGAGAATAACACAATACTGGTAAAGTCTTTAACATATTAAGAACTTAGTATTAACTATTATTTTTATTACATATCTCATTTTTGAGCTGCCTATATACCTTATCACAGCACTCATCATCCTAAATTATAACTGGCTATCAGTCTCCTCCCACACCTAACAACTGGTTTTCAACTGCTCTCCTTGCCACCCTCCTACCACTACCACCACACATACTAGCGTACCTGAGAGCTACAACTTATTTCTATTAGTAACTGTGGCCCACTCTGGCAAGTGATTCTCAAGGAGTGGTCACCTCTGGTTGAGAATTATTTAGTTCAACTATTGATTCGTGACTGGGGATGATTTTGCCTCCCAGGAAACATTTGGCAATGTCTGGAGACATTTTTGGTTGTTGTAACAGGAGGGAAACACTACTGGTATCTAGCGGTTAAAAGCTGAGGATGCTGCTAAACATTCCACAATGCAGAGAACAGCCCCTGTAAAATAAAGAATTACGTGGTCTAAATGGCAATTGGTGCCAAGGTGGAGAGTCTGAACTAGATAGTAAGTTCAGGAATTTTATCACTGGCATCAAATACAACATCCGGTAAATTAGAAGCATCTCATAAATGTTGCATGAAAAAAATGAGCTTATTATTGTCATTTGAGATAGAGTCTCACCCTGTCGTCCAGGCTGGAGTGCAGTGGTGTGATCTTGGCTCACTGCAACCTCTGCCTCCTGGTTCAAGCAATTCTCCTGCATTAGCCTCCCGAGTAGCTGAGATTACAGGTGTCTGCTACCACACCTGGCTAATTTTTGTATATGTAGTAGAGATGAGGTGTCACTATTTTTGCCAGGCTGGTCTCGAACTCCCGACTTCAAGTAATCTGCCTGCCTCAGCCTCCCAAAGTACTGGGATTACAGGCATGAGCCACTGCGCTTGGTGGAAGAAAAATGTAATTACAGTATATTCTGTAGTAATTTAAGCTACTACAATCCAGTATGTATGGAGACACACAGAAAGTATTCCCCGGTCAGGCACAGTGGCTCACGCCTGTAATGCCAGCACTTTGGGAGGCCAAGGCGAGTGGATCATGAGGTCAGGAGTTTGAGACCAGCCTGGCCAACACAGTGAAATACCGTCTCTTACTAAAAATACAAAAATTAGCCGGGCATGTTGGCAGGACCTGTAATCCCCACTACACAGAGGCTGAGAAAGGAGAATCACTTGAACCCGGGAGTTGGAGGTTGCAGTGAGCCAAGATTGCGCCACTGCACTCCAGCCTGTGTGACAGAGCTAGACTCCGTCTTGGGGGAAACAAAAAACAACAGAAAGTTATTCACCACAGGCCTGTTCTATAAAGATCATCAATCATAATATTTCTTTCCTGATGTTTTAACAATAAACACATCATTTACAAAAATCTTTTCTATTTAATCTCTTCTACTGAAATAATGCTGCCCACTACAGGAGCACCAACTAAGAAAACCAAAATGTTTAGTGTTCTTTAACTGAGAAACCTGAAAATGCCACCACCCACACACCCTCTTCTTAGGGCAGCTGAGTAGATGCTGGCACCTGCACGTATGCTTTGAGCTACAATTCATCAATCATTGAAATTCAAATGAGTGCAGAGGTGGAAGGTGGCAGAGTTTCACTAAGAAATGAAAAAATTACAAGGCCAAATATCATTAAGAGAGCTGACATTCTTTTCTACCAATTTATACAGGACACAGCAAGGGCAATACACATAGCCTTGTTCCAAGCACCTCTGTTGCCCCAAATTGCAAAATGTCTTCTATGCTTTTAGATAAACAATAATGAACTTGGAAGAATATTCAAAGGAAACATTAGAAAGTATATCTGAGAAAAAGCCGAAGTCAGTCATCATATGTGATTTAAAAAATGGTCAAAACCTGGAATGCTTCTTTAAGAAGAAAAAAAGCAATCTGCAGACACTAATTAAGACTGACTAAAAAATACTTAACATTTACTATTCTAATTAGTCGTTCTGGGGCACATCTTCCCCATTAGATTGTGAACAGATCTAATTCAACTTTATATTAATAAATCTAGCAAAAATTCAATGCATGGTATGTAGGTGCCTTAATATATTTATTGACTGAACAGATGAACTATATGCAGATATTTTCCCCATACAAATGCCTGTTCTAGTAAGGCCTGTCCTTTTATGTAGTAACTTACTCATTTTGCCTTCCTCTGTATTTAACATCTTAGCAAATCAAATTCAGTGGTACAAGGAATGTTGTGTTCAGATCAAGCATGTCGAATAGCAGATTTCAGTAATGTTTCCATTAAACCAACCACTCCCTAACCCTATCGCTACCACTACGACTACCACCACCACCACCACCACCACCACCCACCACCAAAAAAGGGACAGAATTCTCATTTCCTGCTTACTTGTAAATTTATCATTCCTTACCTTCTTCAGGGGCAGCTGAAGCTCCTTCAGGTAGTACAGGCTGTAACTCTCCAGTTTCAGAATTATTTTCCGAATCAGTCATCTGCAGTCCTTCCAGATGACCTCCTTTAGCATTAGCCCTCAAAGAAGAAAACAACTTGGTATTTTTATGTAACTAGTAAGTGACACAATAATCTATATTTTCTTTTTGAACTGAGCACCAAACTAAGTAGGGTACGTGCTCTGGTGTTTAATAATAAATTTCAAATTTTATCTTAAAATATTTCATTAAGGGCCGGGCGCAGTGGCTCATGCCTGTAATCCCAGCACCTTGGGAGGCCAAGGCGGGTGGATCACCTGAGGTAAGAGTTCAAGACCAGCCTGGACAAGATGATGAAGCTCTGTCTCTACTAAAAATACAAAAATTAGCCAGGTGTGGTGGTGGGCGCCTGTAATCCCAGCTACTTGGGAGGCTGAGGCAGAGAACTGCTTGAACCCAGGAGGCAGAGGTTGCAGTGAGCCGAGACTGCACTGCTGCACTGCAGCCTGGGCGACAGAGCAAGACTCTGTCTCAAAAAAAATAAATAAAAAATAAAATTAAATAAAAAAATTTCACTTAACATTCACAAAAAAATGTTATGAAATGGTGGATTATATCAATGTTAGTATCCTGGTTGTGATACTGTACTACAGTTTTGCAAAACGTTATTAGGGGAGAAAAGTACACAAGATGTCTCTGCATTATTTCTTACAACTGCATGTGAATCTATAATTAGCTCAATAAAATTTTAACTTATAAATATAAATGGAAGTTTTAAATAATATGTTCTAAGAGGGAAAGACTTTTAAGATATATTATTATTACTATTATTTGAGATGGAGTCTCAGTTGGTCACCCAGGCTAGCGTGTAGTGATGTGATCTCAGCTCACTGCAACCTCTGCCTCCTGGGCTTAAGCGATTCTCCTGCCTCAGCCTTGCAAGTAGCTGGGATTACAGGTGCCCAGCATGACGCCGACAATTTTTGTACTTTGTTTTTAGTAGAGACAGTGTTTTACCATCATGACCAGGCTGGTCTCGAACTCCTGACCTCAAGTGATCTGACCACCTCAGCCTCCCAAAGTGTTGTGGTTTACAGGTGTGAGCCACGGTGTCTGGCCTGAGAGATATTATTGAATGAGAAATCAAAGTACACCTTTTGTATTAAAAAAGCTACATAGTCACAGTTCCTTAAATATACACAAAAACTGAGAAGACACAGCATACATGAAAAATAAAGAACAGCATGAATGTGTGTGGGGCAAGGGGTTGGAAAACTAGGTTGTGGGAGATAAGGATGGGAAACTTTTCACTTATTCTTTTTTCCTTTCATTTTGAAACACTTATCATTAGTATTTAATATTTATTTTTATTTAAAAAATAAACAGAGGCAAGGTCTTGCTATGTTGCCAAGGCTGTTCTCAAATTCCTGGGCTCAGGCAATCCTCCCATCTCAGCCTCCAAAAGTGCTGAGATTACAGGTGTGTGCCACTGTGTCCAGCCTTTCATCAGTATTTAAACTTTTTGCTTACACTACTTTAAATCAGGCAGGGAAAAAAAAGACATGAGCTGGACAGCATCCACATGAACCAGTCTGGCAGATAAAATCAACTGCAAAATGAGGATCATGGCTAAGAGCTGCAGACACTTGTACAGGATTTTACACTCTAGAAAAAAAAAAACTAAGTTCATGTATATTTAACTGTGATGACTAAAGGCAGATAAAAATATCTCCATAGCAAATACAATATAAAAGCTAGTTGCAGCTTTAATTTGAAGAAATGTATAAAACATCAGGCTAGGTAGTAGGTAGGGAAGACAAGATAATCTCCAGTGATTTTAACATCTTTCTACTACTGAAACTTGAGCCACAAAGGAAAGCTAAACCACCAGCCAATCTTGTAGTTTTGGTAATGAGCCAGACACCCTGACTATATAAAATTAAGTAAACTTAAAGGGTGTTAATCTTTCTCCAATTGAGGTAAAATTCTTTTCAGAGTCTCCAAAATAGAACTATTTCATTGTTTAAATTTAGAAATAGGTTTAATATCCATAAAATAGATAAGCAGATGGATATTAATGGCTCATGATCTGCCACATCCATAGCCAATATCCATAATCACTCTATCTTTTGAATAGATGGAAGTTTAATTGCCATGTCTGGGATTTGAGTTTATGTCTCTTAGGGGAGAGATAAAGGTGTTAACTACTATATATCCTTTTGGAAAATTCCAACTATAAGTTTTGAGGATACTTTGATAAGAGGAGAGAAGAAAGGTGAGATAAAAGCAGAAAAGCAGTGTTAAAGTTGCTGTAAGTGCTTTGTTTCATACAAAATATATATAAATGCCTGTGACATGTAATATAGCCCAACACTAATATTTTTGACAAATGTAGACTGAAAAAAAAAAAATAAAAACCAAAAAAAGCTGACAACCTTCCCCCCCACACACACAAATTTACAAGGCAGAGTTCAGATAAGGTTACGTATCATTGTGAAAATGAGCTCTAACTCTGAAAATGAGCTCCAACATATCTAAACTAAACTTCCAGTACTATCTCATCCCATTTAAATAAAGTACTATCTCATCCCGTTAAAAAAAAAAGTAAAATCTCTGATATTTTAAAAAGTTAAAATTTAGGGCAGGTGCAGTGGCTCAGGCCTATAATCCCAACACTCTGGGAGGCCAAGGTGGGCATATCACTTGAGGTCTCAGGAGTTCAAGACCAGCTTGGCCAACATGGCGAAACTTTGTCTCTACTAAAAGTACAAAAATTAGCAAGGTGTGGTGGTGGGCACCTGTAATCCCAGCTACTTGGGAGGCTGATGCAGGAGAATCACTCAAACCCGAGAGGCAGAGGTTGCAGTGAGCTGAGATCACGCCACTGCACTTCAGCCTGGGTGACAGAGCAAGGCTCTGTTAAAAAAAAAAAAAAAAAGTTAAAATTTAGTGCAATAAATGTATTTTCTGTCCACTAAAAAATTAACAAGGTAGAAATTAATTTGTTCATCATGATGCAAACTTAAAGTTCCAAACAAAGCTATTAGCTATTATACCATTACATATAGAAAACAACTTAATTTACCCCAAGGTGACCATTTTTCTCCTTTTCTCAACAGCAGGCAAGCCACTGAAAACTGCAACCACAACAGCATCTGAATCCAAAGCTTTACACTGCCGGTCTTCAGTTTTTGGCAGAATATCACCAATACTGCCATGTATCAAGGCTCGGGGAGAACTGTGCCTGCTCCCAGACTGAGAGCTTCCTGGGGAGCCTTCAAAAAAAGGAAGAGGGAATACAAAAATTAACTGGGTATGATGGTGTGCACCTGTAATCTCAGCTACTTGGGAGGCTGAGACACGAGGATCACTTGAACCTGGGAGGCGGAGGTTGCGGTGAGCCGAGATTGTACTACACTCCAGCCTGGACAACAGAGCAAGACTCAAAAAAAAAAAAAAAAAGGAGGGATAATCAGAAAGAAGGCAAATAAACATGGAAGGTCTCTCTCAGTTATATTAGAAAATCTCACTATATATGTATTTTAAAACTACATAAAAACTTCAAAAATAGGCCGGGCGTGGTGGCTCATGCCTGTAATCCTGGCACTCTGGGAGGCCAAGGCAGATGGATCACCTAAGGTCAGGAGTTCAAGGTCAGCCTGGCCAACGTGGTGAAACCCTGTCTCTACTAAAAATACAAAAATTAGCTGGGCGTGGTGGCGTGCACTTGTAGTCCCAGTTACTCGGGAGACTGAGGCAGGAGAATCACTTGAACACGGGGGGCGGAGGTTGTGGTGAGCCAAGATTGTACCATTGCACTCCAGCCTAGGAAACAAGAGCAAAAAACTCCATCTCAAACAAGAAAAAAACACTTCAAAAATAATTTTGAAACATATCCCATTTATTTTTATGCCAGGCATTTAAAATTAAGGAGTCCAGGCCAAGTGTTGTGGCTCACACCTGTAATTTTACACTTTGGCAGGCTGAGACAGGAAGACTGTTTGAGCTCAGAAGTTCAAGACCAGCCTGGGCAATGTAGCGAAACCCTGTCTTGGCAAAAAAAATTAAAAAAAAAAAAAAAAAAGCCAGGTACGGCTGCATGTGTCTGTGTCTGTGGTCCCAGCTACTTGGGAGGCTGAGGTGGAAGGATCACTTTTGTCTGAGAGGTCAAGGCTGTAGTGAGCTATGATTGCACCACTGCATCCCTAGCCTAGAAAACAGAGCAAGACTCTATCTCAGGAAAACAACAAAAATAAAAAATAAATAAAATCAAGGAGTTTAGAATACATAGTCTAATGGCTGTATGTTAAGGGTCTGTTCTGTTGTGAGATCAAGAAACTTTCGGGCCAGGTGTGGTGGGGCTCATTCCTGTAATCCTAGCACTTTGGGAGGTTGAGGTAGGAGGATTGCTTGAGCTCAGGAGTTTAAGACCAACCGGGGCAACCTGTCTCTATAAAAAACACAAAAATTAGCCAGGCATAGTGGTGCACACCTGTAGTCCCAGCTACTTGGTGGGGCTGAGGCAGGAGGATCGCTTAAACCACCGGTCGAGGCTGCGGTGAGCCAAGATTGCACCACTGCACTCCCACCTGGGTGACAAAGTGAGACCCTGTTTCAAAAAAGGAAACTTTCAAATCCAACGTTAGCATTTTTGGTACCCTTCAAGATCTAAAGCTCCATGATAACATCAATTTCAGGTAATAAATATCTACCCCACTAAAAGTACATTCTGAATCCCTCAAATTTACCTTCAGACAGAGTCTGACAGTCTCCCTTTGAACGACTACTCTCTCCAGGGTCCACTGCTCTTCGAAGTGATAGACTACCTGCTACACTGGATCGAGCTGGCTTGGGCGAATTACTCTTCTTATTTGTGGCTGCAAAGACATTTAAGAACACCTCTGAATAGGATACAACAGCATAAAACTTACTATTTAGTCCGTCAGAAAAAGTTTTAATCTTACCTTGCATGGAAGCTGTTCTCTCTACTGTCTAAAAATAAAAAACATTCTGTAGCCCCAACTGGTTATAAAACATTCCCATCTTGTTGCTTGTGGAGCAGAATCTTTGTTTTTTCAGACGGAGTCTTGCTCTTGTTGCCTAGGCTGGAGTGCAATGGAGCAATCTTGGCTCACTACAACCTCCACCTCCTGGGTTCAAGCAATTCTCCTGCCTCAGCCTCCCGAGTAGCTGAGATTACAGGCAGCCGTCACCATGCCCAGCTAATTTTTGTATTTTTAGCAGAGACGGAGTTTTGTCATCTTGGCCAGGCTGGTCTCGAACACCTGACCTCAGGTGATCCACCTGCCTCAGTCTCCCAAAGTGCTGGGATTACAGACGTGCGCCAACCACACCCAGCCCGTAAAATCTTAACTTAAAAGACTACTTAAAAGATTATCTGTGAGCTCCATAAGAAAAATCATACAAATTTCAATGCAGTTGAACTACTAACAAAAACATAACCCATCAAACATTTGGAAATTGTTTTTTTTTTTTCTTTTTTTTGAGACAGAGTCTCGCTCTGTCGCCCAGGATGGAGTGCGGTGGCGCGATCTCGGCTCACTGCAAGCTCCGCCTCCCGGGTTTACGCCATTCTCCTGCCTCAGCCTTCCGAGTAGCTGGGACTACAGGCGCCCACCACCTCGCCTGGCTAGTTTTTTGTATTTTTTAGTAAAGACGGGGTTTCACCGTATTAGCCAGGATGGTCTCGATCTCCTGACCTCGTGATCCACCCATTTTGGCCTCCCAAAGTGCTGGGATTACAGGCTTGAGCCACTGTGCCCAGCCGGAAATGTTAAGTATTATTGGATTAAAAAGAAAATCAATGCTGAGTTAGAAACAAATTACAATCACGGTACTTTAAATCAAAATGTCTGTCGTCAAACCAGTAGTGAAAAGAAAATGTATAGCCTTAAAATGAATTAATTAGCAAAAAAAGGGACTATATGACCTAATATGCATAGATTCAAAAGCCAGGAAAACAATAAAAATAAACAAGCAAGAATGCTATTGCCAGAAGGCAGGCACCTGCCCTTGAATTCAGCCTGCAAATCTGTGAGTTAAATAAATCTCTTTTAAAAATAAATTTTTAAAAAAGAACAAAAATAAAATTGTAAAAAAGAATTTAAAAAAAGCAGAAGAAATCCATTAATAGATAATAAACACGTTTAGCAAGGTTGCAGGATATAAGACAAAATAACTTACTGTATTTCTCTGCACTAGCAGATAATGTGAGAATGAAGTTAACAAAACAATTTCATTTTTAATAGCATAAAATACAATTAAAATACTTAGGAATTTATTTAACAAAAGAAATGTGAGATTTGTTCACTGAAAACCACCACACATTGTTGAAAGAAAATAGAGACAACAGCAAAGACATCCTGTGTTCATCCTGATTGGAACACTTAATACTGTTAACAAAGCAATATTCTTAAAATTGATCTACAGATTCAACACAATTTCTATAAAAATCATAGTTGTTTCTTTCTTTTTTTTTTTTTTGCAGAAATTGACAAGCTAATCCTAAAATCTATTTGAAAATGTAAGAGACCCACAATACCCAAAATAATCTTAAATGGAACACTCACTTCTGATTTCAAAAGTTACTGTAACTACAGTAATCAAGACTATGTGGTACTGCCATGTACACATATATATCATCAAAACAGAACTGAGAGTCTAGAAACAAACCCTTACATTTATGGTCCACTGATTTTTGACAAGGATGCCAAGACAATGCAATGGGCAAAGAAAAAAAGGGGACAATAACGAGTGCTGCCAATGGTGTGGAAAACCTGGAGCCCTCATATACTGTTGCTGGGAATATAAAATGGTGCAGCTACTCTGGAAAATATTCTGGCACTGGTAGTTCCTCAAAAAGTTAAACACAGTTGCCATGTAACCCATTAATTCCACTTCTAAGTATATACTCAAACAAAACCATATGTCCAAACAAAAACCTGTACATGAATGTTCATAGCAGCACTACTGATAATGACCAAAAAGTAGAAACAACCCAAATATCCATCAACTAATGAGTGGATAAATAGTATGTAGTACAGCCATACAATAAAATATCATGCAGCCATAAAAAGGAATAAATATATGTCACAATATGGATGAACCTTGAAAGGGCTGTGTTAAGTGAAATAAGCCAGACATAAGACCTCATATGTTATGAGTCTATTTATATGAAAAGTCCAGGCTGGGCGTGGTGGCTCACATCTGTAATCCCAGCACTTTGGGAGGCCAGGGTGGGCGGAGCATGAAATCAAGAGATCAAGACCATCCTGGCCAACATGGTGAAACCTCATCTCTACTAAAAATACAAAAATTAGCTGGACCTGGTGGTGCACACCTGTAGTCCCAGCTCCTCGGGAGGCTGAGGTAGGAGAATGGCATGAACCCAGAAGGCGGAGCTTGCAGTGAGCCAAGATTGTGCCACTGCACTCCAGCCTGGGCGACAGAGCGAGACTCCATCTCAAAAAAAAATCCAGAAGAAGAAAAATCCATAGAGAATAAGTAGATTAGTGGTTACCAGAAGATAGGAGGAGGGGAAGATGGGGAATGACTCTTTGGGTTTGGAGCTCTAGGCAGAGGGTTAATGAAAATGTTCTTAGACTTAGATAAATGTTCTAGACTTAGGAAAAATGACGACCAGTTTCTCCACTAAAAGGATAAATGAATTATCAGTTAAGGAAAAAAGCGTTAATAGGCCGGGCGCAGTGGCTCGTGCCAGTAATCTCAGAACTTTGGGAGGCCAAAGTGGGTGGATTACCTGAGGTCAGGAGTTTGAGACCAGCCTGGCCAGCATGGTGAAACCCCGTCTCTACTAAAAATGCAAAAATTAGCCAGGCATGGTGGCACACACCTGTAATCCCAGCTATTCTGGAGGCTGAGGCAAGAGAATTGCTTGAGCCCAGGAGATGGAGGTTGCAGTGAGCCAAGATTGCGTCACTGTACTCCAGCCTGGCGGACAGAGTGAGACTCTGTCTCAAAAAAAGTATTAACAAAGACAAAAGCAGAAATATAATGAAATGGTAAAAGAGAATGTATGAAATGAATCTAAGAACTTAGTCTTTGAGGAAATGAACAAAATCAGCAAACCCCTTGAGCAGGTCAAATCAAAGGAGAAAAAAAAAAACCACAAGTAAGCAATAAAATAAGTGAAAAAGAAGTTAACACCCCACATGCACGAGGAGTTTTAAAAATTTCAGAAAACAGAATAAATGACTGTACGTCAATAAATTTAAAGACCCAAATATAATCAGTTTTTCTTGAAAAACTATAGTAACTGACTTAGGTAGCAGCAGAAGTATGAGAAAATCACATCTGACAAGAGATTAATGACCAGGATCTAAAACAACTCTACAGGAAAAAATTTAATAATCTGATTAAAAATAGGCAAAAAATCTTAATAGATATTTCTCAAAAGAAGACATACAAATAGCAAACAGGCATATGAAAAAAGTGCTCAACATCACTTATCATCAGAGAAATTCAAATCAAAACTACAATAAGATACCATCTCATCCGAGTTAAAATGGCTTTTATTCAAAACACAGGCAATAACAAATGCTGGTGAGGATGTAGAGAAAAGGCAACTCTCATACACCATTGATGGGAATGCAAGTTAGTAAAACCACTACGGAAAACAGTTTGGAGGTTCCTCAAAAAAACTAAAAATAGATCTACTATATGATCCAGCAATCCCACTGCTGATTATATACCCAAAAGAAAGCAAATTAGTATATCAAAGAGATATCTGCTGTCCCATGTTTACTATAGCACTATTCACAATAACCACGGTTTGGAGGCAACCTAAGATCCATAGACAAATGGATAAAGAAAATGTGGGTTGGGCATGGTAGCTCACGCCCGTAATCCTAGCACTTTGGAAGCCCAAGGCAGGAGGATCATTTGAGGTCAGGAGTTCGAGACCAGCCTGACCAACAAGATAAAACCCCATCTATACTAAAAAATACAAAAAAATTAGCTGGATATGGTGGCACATGCCTGTAATCCCAGCTACTTGGGAGGCTGAGGCAGGAGAATCACTTGAACCGAGGAGGCAGAGGTTGCAGTGAACCGAGATTGTGCCACTGCACTCCAGCCTGGGCAACAGAGTGAGACTCCATCTCAAAAAAAAAAAAGAAAAAGAAAAAAGAAAATGTGGTACATATACACATGGAATACTATTCAGCCATAAAAAAGGAATGAGATCCTGTCATTTGCAACAACCTGGGTGGAACTAGAATCATTATGTTAAGTGAAATAAGTAGGCACAGAAAGACAAACTTCCCACATTCTCACTTATTTGTGGGGGCTAAAAATTAAAACAACTGAACTCAAGATAATAAAGCAATGGTTACCAGAGACTAGGGAGTGTAGCGGGTGACTGGGGGGGATGGTTAATGGGCACAAAAATATAGTTAGATAGAATGAATAAGATCTAGTATTTGTTAGTACAACAGGGTGACTACAGTCTACAATAATTTATTGTACTTCTGGCCGGGCGCGGTGGCTCACGCCTGTAATCCCAGCACTTTGGGAGGCCGAGGCGGGCGGATCACGAGGTCAGGAGATCGAGACCATCCTGGCTAACACGGTGAAACCCCGTCTCTACTAAAAATGCAAAAAATTAGCCGGGCGAGGCGGCGGGCGCCTGTAGTCCCAGCTACTCGGGAGGCTGTGGCAGGAGAATGGCGTGAACCCGGGAGGCGGAGCTTGCAGTGAGCCGAGATCGCGCCATTGCACTCCAGCCTGGGCGACTAAGCGAGACTCTGTCTCAAAAAAAAAAAAAAAAAAAAAAAAAAAAAATAATTTATTGTACTTCTAAAAATAACTAAAAGAGTACAATTGGATTGTTTCAACA